TGCGCTTATCAGTCAAGTTATTGAAGTTGTTATAGTACTACAAAACGTTGATTATGAACATCATTAGTTTCAATTTTATTTTGCCTAATTATATATAATATATGTTGTCTGCAAATTTGTGACACATTAGACATATTATCTCTGTATCGATATCTTTGTATCGATTATCTAATTTAGAACCGCCGAGTCGATCATACGTCACAGCGATTCTCGTCGCCGTTGCCATCGTGCTGATTGTCACCGTTGTCACATTATTCCTCGTGTGGCGATACAAGTTAGTGCTTTATCCTCACTGTCGACGGCGTATTGAATTTGCAACTAATTGTGCAATTAATTACTAATAGATATATATATATATATCGTAACACTTTCAGACGCATGCGCACATGTTAATAGCGCCAATCCAAGGAGGAAATCACTGTTTAAAGCGTCTTATAATTGCATGCATTATATTAAATCTATACATAGTAATTAACTCACTTATATTATGAGCCGACTGCCTTTTCAACAACAAACAAAAATTCTCAAGATTAGTATGATTGCGATAGTTTGCTACAACTGAAAGTTAATTTCGAAAGTTGCCACTGAAAATGTAAGCCTGCCACTGAAAAGTTGCCACTGAAAAGAAATGTAAATGAAAATATACTAACGATGGAATTATATTTCCGAAGAATTTTGATTGTTTCCACTCCATTGGCTGTTGAAGCGTCGCACGATTTTAGATGGATATAGAAGGGATTTAATCTCGCAAATTCGTACGAAAGAAGATGGAGACATGTCAGGGGTGCTAGCACCGCCTGTAACGGTGAGAAATCGAGAATTGCTCTTCGTAAATTGACAGGTATCATCTTAACTTACAGACTGTCCGAAAGGTTCACAAAGAAACAGAAAACTGGCCTAGCAGGTATAATAGTCTTATATTTCTGATTTTGCAACTGTTACTTATAATATATGTCCTGCAGTAATGATACGATGTTGGCATAAATCCCATATGAGGCTGAAAACGTACTAGTGCGCAAGTGTATCTTCTTCCAGAAATCCTTTTTTTAAATTACATCAGCGTTTCAAAAATGGCCTACACTGAATTTGGCCGCGTGCCCGGTAAAGATGGTTGAGATTAGCGACGATAGATAGATTAGACTATTATGCATCTTTGATGTGGAGTGATTCCCTTTCCAAATTTATTTGTGGTTCGTCCATGGTTTGTCTTCTTCTATGACAAAGCTCGTATCTCGCTCAGTCACTTTGGCGGTTGACAAATGTACGGCGTGTACTGCTGCTGCGGCACTCGCTCATCTGCATTAACAAGAGTGTTCCAATCCTAACAAAATCATATCAGAGATCTAGCCGAACTTTGTCGACTCTCCATAGAAACTATATAGAATAACTGTATCATAACAAGAATAATCTAATCGTTGACGAACGATCTTGCTTAGGCTAAAAATGATGAGCCCCGTCTTTACGCGTACTAAATAGTAAGCCGATTAAAATTACCTATTCTTCCATGGTCTTGCAGTAGAAACGAAGGCGCAGCAAAGTCAAGAGGCGTTGTTCGATGCCGCAAGCGCACCCGCCACGTCAAGTCCTGACACGGACCGGATGCCAGCCGCTGTAGCGGCAACAGATGACGATGGGTTCGCTGACCATATCTACGAGAATGTCGCTGTCGCCGTAGTGCCACAGAGGACGGCCGTGAAGCTGGAAAATCTGTTAAACTATGTTGTTATGAAAAAGCAACACTCTGACGCGTTTAAAAAAGAGTTCGAGGTAGGAGTTCAAGAGAGAAGCCGATATTGAGGGAGAAAAAAGCGGCAACGAGTGAGTGAGTGAGAGCGAGAGAGAGAGAGAGAGAAAGAGAAAGAGAGAGAGAGAGAGAGAGAGAGAGAGAGAGAGAGAGAGAGAG